TTTAACTTTGCAATTTGTCTATAGTTATCCATTCTTTGACTTTATCTTTTCAATTCTCTTTCTTTGGGCATAAGAAACAGAGAGCAACAAAGAGAAAAACGTGAAGAGAGGGGAAAATAGAGAGAAAGGAAAGGGAAGAAAAAAATGAGAAAAGAGAAGGAAAAGGAAGGGAAAAAGGATACCATCTTCAATTTCTTTATCAATTCTTAAAGGTAAGCCTAAATTTATTGAAGAATAATATTAGATTTTAGGGTTCATGGTTCACAGAAATTTTCCCTAAATTCGAAATTTAGCAAAAAGTAGGGGTTGTTGAAACATATTCTTTGATTTTCTGTTGAGGAAATGATGCTAAATACTTCAATAAGGAATTTAGGTGTTGTTTCTCCAGCCAACTGAACTGGAAATGGAAGAAATGTTTCCTGTCATTTTATTATCAATTTGGAACCAATATGGAAACTTGTATATACATTGGCATATGAATTATGAGCAAAATAATGGATGGAATTTGACAAGTAAATGAAAACAGATCATTAAAGAAGTGAAATGATTATCATATTATTTTTACCAAAATTATGAATTGAGTTTTGACTTAAATAACTTTATTATTATATCAGGAGGTAATCCAGAGATCGAGATAGCCTACCAACCAAGTAAATAGTCCCGTAAATAGGTTGTGTGTGGAAAAACTTACATATTTTTGCAAGTATTGATAACCTGATTGTATTAGTATGTTATGTGGGATTATGTGAAATAATTAAGTTGCCTGATTATTTTAAAATGTTCTCTCATGGTGATATATGTGGATTTACAAAGACTGTATGTTGATTACTTGTGAATTTGAATGTGAGACATATGTTTATTAACCAGTAATAGGGCACCAAGGCATGTGATTGTGTTGGTCGCAAGTGAGACTTCTCGGGTGATCACGATGGTAGTTAGGGGATGTGCCTTTGGAGATCACGGGATGATTGACCACTTGCTTGTGTTGTGAGACATGGTGATTGTTAGCATTTCGGGTAGGACACTTCAAGGGTGATCATGGAGGCTGTCGGGGATGTACCTCTGGTGATCATAGGAGGATGGTCCAATCGATTGTGATATTGTTATTATGGAGGCTGTCAGGGGATGTACCTCTGATAATCAAATTAGAATACTTCGAGTTTACATTGATTATATTATCATNAGAGTTATAGCCACACGATATGATGCATTTTGGTAGAGCACAAAATATTTATTTTGGGCCCATCGCATATTTTTTCATAAACATGTGATTTTTGGTATTTTGTTGTAACTCATAGTTAGCCTTGATGGTGGATCTGGCATCTAGTCAGCATCTACCGGCGCACATCACGTTTCGAGTCCACTAGGGTGATTCGGGACGGGTCCTGTCAGTTATCACTATAATAGTAGGACTTTCCAACTGGGGGTAAGACCAACCCTGTCATAGAGAAAAACATAGGTTCCCGAGCTCGAGGAGATCATGGGGAGTCCCATAAAATGGGTCCTTACCTCCTCGGGATACCTGGTCGGGGCACTCTCAATATTGGGACAATCAATAAAAACAGCAACGAAGAAAAGGCATGACAGGAAGCATCTTTCAAGTTAATCAGCAGTCTGCCGTTCCATTATAGTTGTGTGCTTCCAGTTTTTAATCTTGATATTGTCAAACAAATATATCCTGTTTAGTTTTATACAGTAAAAAAATATATGAAAAATGTAAATCAAATGCGATATTTTACCCTCACCCAAATAATTTCTTTCAATCATGTATTGTTGGGTACCCTCTCTTTGGGATTATGCTGTTGAAAGCCTTGACAATTGCTCTTTGTTCAATTTTTTCTGGAAAGCATTCTGAATTTTTAACTAATACATAGAAAAATGTTTTAGGTCATGTTTGATAGAACAAGTTTTCCATGGAAGATGGAAAACTTTTTGCCATTTTCCATCTTTTAGAGTGTTTGATGGAAAACATTTTCCAGGGAGTTAGTTTTTCACATTTTCTTGGTTTGCCACATTTTCTTGCTTTTTGAGGTGAATCAATTCCCACCATTTTGGTGGGAATTGATTTTCTAACAGTTTTTTTTTTGGTAATAGAAACAAATTATATCTCTAATTGTAACAACTTATATTTCTTTAATCGACAATTTTCATGGAAAATAAAGTTAAACGAATACCAAAAATTCAAAATTTTAATATTTTTCATGTGGAAAATTATATCAATCAAACACAATTAATTGACAATTCTCAATAAAACAAGTTCTAGGCAATTCAATTCCATAGAATTTATTTTCTTTCCATCATAATTCCATTCTTACAATCAAACGGACACTTAGCGATTTAGCTAAAAGTCAAATTTTTAGTAAATTTTAAAAAAAGTTGAAAAAATTTATATTTAAAAATTGATAAAGTTGTGGATCGTCTTATATACATATTTAAATTAGGGATTAAAGTTTTACTCTAATGGTTAAACTTTCCGAAAGACATATCTAGTCATCCAAAGAATTGCCAAGAGTAGACCATTACTTGAAATTCAAAATTTCAGATCGTCCAAATTTTATTTATCTAGGGTATAAGTGATTATCCGTTTATGTGAAATGAGGTCATCAGCCACGAGAAATGCTTCAATTGGACATTTATACGTGCACACATTATAGAATCGTTAACTTAAATTACGACACTTGAGAACTCGAGTTACTCAAATCGTGACACATTGTTGTTCGAGTTGGTAAGAGAAACAAAGTGGATATCTGTTCTATGCGATAATGAGGTGTTACATTTTGGATGACTCGATGTTCGATTTTTCATAATTTGAATGGTGATTATAGAATCGTTGAAGAAAGAAATGAGACAATTAAAGGAATGGAATGCCTGTCTCTCCAATCTTCAAACATCGTCCTCGTGCCCTACCCCCACTCCCCCACCCTACTCCAAGTAGGACCCATTTGCAACTTTCTATTGATTTGAAAAAGAAAACCAGCTAGAAAAGTATTTTCATGCTTTAAGGCTGGAACTTGAGAACTATTAACCAAACTTGTCAACATTCATCCACTTAACTGTATATATGTACCGGACGAACAGATAAATAAATCATTACGAGGCCAAGTAAAAGGGCAAATTCAATGCTTTAAACAGGTAAATAAATCATTACGATTGACATTGCATAATCACAGGGTTGATGAGGATTCACAGAAAATCAGAGGCGGATGGCGCAGATTTTTATGTTGGGGGCACAGTCAAACTTTTTAAAAAATGACGAAAAAATTAAAGTAAGATATTTTATTACAATTGTTCTCTACGTATTCTCATATTTATATAACATTCCAAAATTAATGTGGGAAAAAGAGAAAAATTTAATATAGTTTCGTAATTCTAATCAACAAAGAAATTGAGTATACAATCTTGGTCATCAAGAGCTACACAAACTTTGATAGAATACAAGTCACAGATTTATATGTACATTTCTTAAATTCTGAAACTTATTTAACAGATGCAACAAGTAAATCAACAAGGGACTAGGAAATGGTAAAAGCCAGA